TCTATGAAAGCCTAAATGCTTGTGAGATCTGTTGGCATAAACAAAAGAAACAGATGTTTCAACTTTGATACCAAGCAAACTTGAAAAGAAAACTATAAATTTAAGGAAAGGCAAACTATAGAGGACATTTTGAACAAGGCCCATCTTTTTGGAAGCTCTAGCATTTAAAATGCTACTGTTATAGAACAATTCTTAAATGAAATCTACAAGCTCCTTTTTTAATTATAAGGTTTTCAGATTCTGCATTATATGTAAATATGCATGAAAATATGGAGTAGCTCAGCATTCATTTCTCCATAATAAACACGGAACTGTGCAGTCAAGTATCCTATTAGAGGGAAATGTAAATTTAGAAAATCATGGTCTTGTTTTCCACCAGAACATAGACTGAATTCTTCCACCCACCCCCAAGATCAGCCTGGTGGAAACATCTGTGTGGTATATATCACAAGGCTACCTTGAAATATCTCCCCCAAGAAGTCCTAATGCCTCAAACTCCCACCATAATTAGTAGATAAAGGAAAACTTATAAGTTGTATTGCATGATACTGGAACACAATCAGTACCCTTGATAACTAAACTTAAAAGCAATTATATAAACTACCCAGAAGAGTTACACTCCATAAATAATTCCTCTACAAACAAGAATTATTTTCACTCTCATAACTTAATGATACAAAGATAGCATAATTTTCAAATGAGCAGGGGATTTGAATAGACATTTCTCTGAAGAAGATGTATAAATAACCAATTAGCAAGTGAACAGTGTTCACCATCTGTAGCCATAAGGGAACCACAAATCAAAACCACAGATATACCACTTCACACTCACTAGGAGGGCTGTAATAAAAAAAAAGTTAGATAATAAACATTGACAAGAATGTAGAGAAATCCAAAACATGCATGCAATACTGGTGGGAATATGAAATTGTGTAGTCACTTTGGTAAACAGTCTTGACTGTTCCTCAAAATGTTAGATATGGAGTTCCCACTTAGGGCAGTTCCACTTATGGTATAAATTCACAAAAAAATGAAAACAGATGTTCACAAATTTCAAATTCGTCTCCAAATTYACATAGCTGTTTTTAAATGTGAATAATGCAAATGCCCATCAATTGAAGAGTGGATTAAAAATATGCCATATTCTAACAATGAATATTATTTGTCAGCTAAAGGAATATATGACAGTTTATAACACAGATGAATCTTAAAAACATTAGGCTGAGTGAACAGAGCCAAAATAAAAAAAGACCATTTGTTTTATGATTCATTTTATAAGAAATGGCATAGTCACAGTAGACAAATCCAGAGAAGTAGAAAGCAGATTAGTGGTTGCCTTAGGATGGGAGGTTGGTGTGTGTGGGGGGGGCAGTGGATAGAAAGTAACCATTATTTACTAGTTTCTTTCCATAGTGAAAAAAAAATGTGCTAAAATTAGATTGTGGTGAGGGTTACACCACTCCATCAATATACTAAAAACAATTGAATTGTTCAGTTTACACGGATCAAGTAGATTATATGTGAAATAAGTGTGCTTTTTTTTAAAAAAAAAAAAAGGATTATTTTCATATTAGTAAACTCTTTAAGTAAAAAAAAATTATTTAAAATCAAATTTTACTTAGTAATGACAACCTATTACTGGACCCCTACATTTATTTTAGTGGTTTATAACRTTATCTAATCAATCATTTAACCTATTGATTGGCACAAATACTCAAATGTTTTCCTTCTACTTCCATAATCCTTAAAGTTCTTTATCATTTACTTTGCCATTTCCGGATATTATCACCTTTCCTCTGTTATTACTTTTTTTTTTTTTACTTCTTGGACATAAAAGGATTAAAAATGCTGTGGTTACTCTTTTCTTTTTGGTACTAAGAATTGAATTTAGGGTCGCTCAGTCACTGAGCCACATCCCCAGCCCCTTTTTATTTTTTTCTCTTGATACAGGGTCTTGATAAGTTGCTTAAGGCCTCGATTAAGTTGCTGAGGTTGGTTTGAACTCACAATCCTCCTGTCTAGGCCTCCTGGGCCACTGGGATTACAGGACTGCAACCACACCCAACAACTGTGGTTACTCTTATGGCGCCATGATAGGATTGTTGATATTCTTTTCAACCCTAAAATTTTCCACTGTCTTCATTGACTTTTTACTCTTGAGTCCATGCTAAGATATATCTATTTCTTTCTTATATTCTCTTTGCCCCCTCTTTTCTCCTCTCTCTAAACTTAATTATTCTTCAAAATTTTGTCTTCAAAGCTCTGATTTATCTTCTTACATTTGTCCCATTGGTTAAGAAACATGAATTTATTTCTCAGGCCTATCTTATCTTCTAGGTTTCAATAACTCAAATGAATATTTTCAATTTTATCCTCCAAGTTTATCTTAGTGTATCTAAAAACACACATATTCAACCAACACTTAAAAATCTCCTGCCTGGCGTCAGAGATTATACTAAGCAGGGTAAATATCAAAATAATTAGAAATTTTACTTGTCCATAATGTGTTTACAGTCCATTAAAATTAGATAGATAGGTACACAAATGAATGAATAAAATGTTTCAGCTCCCATGACAGATTTTTATACCTCATTTCCAATTCTCATTTCTGGAGTCATATTTCAGGTTTGTATATTTTAGTAATAATGTTCATACTGATCTGCTTAACATAATCTCTCCCTACCCAAAATTAAGCTCTTATAAACAACTGCCTATTTATTTTCTGCTCACAATCTTTAATGGTTCTCTATTGTTGAAGGATCAAGTATAAATTCTAGATCTTCACCATCAAGAAGACCCTTCATGTTTTGGTCATCTTTTCTGCCTTGTCCCCTCTGTCTCCCCACAGCCTCTCTCCAGCTAATCTTAGTTGCTTACTTTTTGACATGTCTTAAAAAGTTGTTGCCATAAGTTTGTTCAGAATACTTTTAATTTCTTGCTTCTCATATTGTTTAAAATTTTGTTAGCTTTGAAACAAAAATATATTTATGACTTAAAACCAAAAACTAAAAAGGTAAAAAAGAAAAAAAAAAGGTTGTTAGTCCTTTGTGGTTGTTACTCCACAAAGGTTGTTACTCCATTGTGGATGTTTTTGGTTGGAGAATAGTTTTATACCAAATAATGTTTTGTGATACCTAAGTTTCTTTTTCTTATGAGTTTGTCATCCCTAATGGCAGTGAAGTCATTGGCATCTGGCAGGCAGTAGGAAAAGAATATGAAGTGTTGGCTCTTGGGATGATGTCACGGGCCAAGTCTGGAAGTGGCACCTTTGCTTTGGTTTACAGTCCAATAGCTAGATTTCATATATATATTGCATGTCCAACAGCAAAGGAATGCATGAGTCAAAAGACAAGAGGAACTGTATTTGTGAACACCTAGCACTCTGCCACTTTATCTTCCCTATGATTCCCCACTAAAAAGAATCTATTTATTAATCAGTCAGACCAAATTCTAATTCTTCTGAAAAGCATTTTGTAACTATCCCAAATTGGAGTGAAAATGTCCTGTTCCGAAATTTTACATTGTCTATTGCCTTTGTTTTATTTTTTTATATTTGTCACTCACTATATTACAAATATATATATATATATATATATATATATATATTATTATTATTATTAAGCATATCTTTTCTTTTGCAATGGAATTTAAAATTCCTTGCAGGTAGGAATTATGACATACAATTTTGGCATCACTCATTCATTCAACATGTATTGATTGGAAGACTATAATATATAGGTCTTTATAATTAGTACCATCAGGAATACAAAAATTAATTAGGAATTGTCTCTGGACCTATGTTGTCATTTTGGAATTTAGTTCAGAAAGCATTGCCATGAGTAAGTGCTTTGAGTTCTTTTAGACTAAGGAGGAATATATTCAAATGGTCACCCATACCATGAGACTTTAATTAGGTACCAGCATGATATTATGTAAATGAACAAAATATCAAATACTGTGCTTTACCTACCCTCCTGTATTGGTGAGCCACTGATTATCAAGCAGAAAAGGCCTTCCCTACTATTATGAACAGATTTAGACAGATCATGGCCATTACCGGAAATAGCCTTTCTTGTTACCACACCAGTAGAGCTATGCTTTAAGATTAAATTTTTGAGATGTATAACATTCTACATAATAAAATTCTGAGGTTGCTGCATAGTACTCTGCATGTCCATGAACAGTACATATGCACCAAGAACTGAGATCTAAGAAAGAGGAAACAAACGTAAAATGAAGCACAAAGGAAAAAACAGATGCAAGAATTTTGGCCAAATATATGGAAGAACTTATTAAAAATTAATTAACCTTGAAATGGCTTATTACATCTTTTTTATCCCTAGAAAATGTTAGGTATGTTGCAGTAAATACAAATGCTACAATCCAAGGGATAAAATAAATACCTTCTAGAAAGGTCCTCCCCGTGTTTCATACCCTGAGTTCTAAGGCTTGAACTATTTTTGTTTCCTTTCTGTAATTGCTCAGGGAGGAGCCTATTCAATGAAAGTAAAAGCAGCTCTATTTCTTTCTTTTTTTTCCTGACCACTCCAAGATCTGTTTTTGCACAACTTTGTAAGTATTTCAATTACTTGTTCCCTCAACAATCCTGCAGAGAAGCTCTGCCCCTGCCCCCATCCTCCTTTTATAGATGAAGATATTGAGGTTAAGTGATTTTCTCAGGGTTACAAAGAGACCTAGCAGCAATGGAGGAATGAGAACTAGCAGTTCAACCTTCTGGTGGATGAATAGATTGCGTTTCTGAGCAGCTTTGCTATTATATTGCAAAGAGGCCACTCAGACAACTGGCTGAATGTGGGAGTCCAGGAAATGAAAGGCAGGCGGCAAGGAGAGCATTTTCCTTCTTATTAATGACATAGGCAATTGTCTAAAGTTGGAAATAAAGGCCCTTTAGAGAAAGCCTTTTTTTTTAAAGAGTACAAACAGCAGGACCCTCAAGTGGGAACTTTCCTTCAATGAGACCATTGTCTGTCTGCTTACAGACAGTGCTGCTGAGGAAGCTGGGCTCCTGATCGGAGATGTGGTGCTGTCTGTCAATGGTACTGAGGTCACCAGTGTCGAGCATGCAGAAGCTGTGCACCTTGCAAGGAAAGGTAGGTGGGCCAGTTACAGAGGAGCAGAGAGCTGCAATGCACAGCTCAAATGTGAGGAGGGGGACAACTGCACAAAGGAGACAAATGCACTTCACTCCCAAGTTGCCTCTTTAAAACTTTGTCATCAACATAATTTTTCATAAGAATTAAAGCACATGTCTAACTGATGTACTTTTAGTATTGATGGTCAGTCGAAAAATAAAACCAGAAAAATGGCAGTAAGAGGAACACTCTTTATTACCAATATATTTCTTTAAATTCCTTGCACACAAACACACACACAAAAAAGATATTCTCATTACAAGGATCCACTTATTATTTCTTTTTTTCCTACTTACATCCCTTATTCCCTTCCTTTCTTCCTTTTTGTTTTTTCTTTTTATCAGTATATAGAGTTAAGAGCCTCAGGCTTTTAGTGTAAAAAAAAAAAGAGCAAAAGAAGAAAAAGAAATCAGTCAATCAACCAATCAATCAATCTCTGGTCTAAAGCTTCTGGAGATTCTGCAAGGGCCACCTGAGGCTTCCATTTAAAACAATTCTAACAAAGATGAAAAAGACCACAAGAACAGTGCTAATGCATGCCACATACCCTTGCATCCCCTCACATTGAACTTTGTGAAAAGGTTAATATTGTCATCCTATCTGCAAAACAACTTACTTTTTTTGGACCATGTTAGGAATCCTTATCTCCCTGCAGACCTAAAAATACACAGCTGGACAGTGTTGTGTTCTACCATGGGACTATTTGGTATAGTATCCATTCCTGGTTCCCTAAATGATGTATAAATACTTCAGTGTCAGTGAAGTATATTATCAGACAATAAGATATTTAAAATGTGTGCCCTTGGGAGAAGACACACTTCTCAAGCAGTAGGTGTCACTTGCCTTTCTCATGTTTAGGGGTTAGCAACAGCGAGAGACTTTTTCTCCAGACGAGCACAAGAAAATCATTAACAAGTGCTGTGTCCTGAGGAGTGTTCTGAACTTTTTTTGAGATAGAATTTGGCTTGGTGTTTTGCTGTTCTGTACTACTGGTACTGGGTCTACCAGGAATCCAAGAACACTGTCAGTTAAGCTTATGTAGCAACGACATGTAAGTCCTCCAAAAACATTTATGGTTTATGGAGAACAGTTGAGAAGTCAAAGTAATATTATCATGATTTTCATAATGAATTGATAGTATCCCATACCATAAGAGAATTTTACCCCTTGCTTCTGGACTTAGTTGTTCCTAGGTTCTTTCTCAGAGATAATTGCTTTATATAATATTTTTTAGTTAAATAAACCATTGCTAATATTTTTACTCTTAATATCTCTATTTTTCCCCAAGAAGTTTAATATTCTTTATAGTTCTGAACCATTTCACCTCAATATATCAGTTAATGGAAAGCGGAAAATATCTCTACAACTTGAATGGAGGGGTTTCTGGGTTCTGACAAGGTGATGATGTTGGTAGTGGGAGAAAGGCCAAATTCACCACCCTGGCCTGTGCTGCCCCTGGGAGCTATTGGTAAGATGGATTTATCTGCTGTTATAACCTACAATAAACCATTTCTTGTTTGCACACTGCTGCTCTCCAATGAGGACTGTGGACCTGTGTCTTTGCCAATCTTCAAACCCAACATTCTAGATCTGAGATGCTCAATTAAAAACAGAAAGAGACTGGGGGTAGGGGGAGATCATTTCACACCAATGTTTGTGTGAGAGAGGTGGAAATTACAACTAATAGTAAAAGAGAGCTAAGCATCTCCTATAAGAAATAGGTGTGGCCCTGGGTGACAAATTCTCCATTCCAACACCACTTAAAGCCATAAAAATGGCAGCATCTATTGGGGGCAGTCAGTGAGATGAGCCCAGCTGGTTTGGGGAGTTGATTATTCCTCACTCAGGCATAATCTGCACATTCCTAAAATTAATTGATTATAGCAAAGATTTTAATTGAGAAACAGTGGAGTCTATGGCAGAAGAACAAGGAGATTCCCTGAGATTCAGAATCATCTGGTAATGAAGTAAATGACACAAATTCAGTAGCTGGGACAAGACACCAATCTGAGAAGCTTATGGCCCTGAGGAATACCTTGTTACCACCACCATTTACTCACCAGGGGGGATACCAACTATGGCCTGGAATTTAAACCATCTCCCTGTACACATTTTCTTGGATTTTTTAAACAATTCCAGAGCAATAGGAGATGTCTAGTAAAAATAATAAGACATCTGAGAAACACAATTACAATAAAAGAATGATAACATACAAAAAAATCTATAGCAAGCAAAGCAAAATAAATGAACACATCTGATAAAACAAGCATTTAAAATAAGATCAATAAATATTAAAAAATGGTGAAGGAGGACATTCATAGAATATTATATATGAAGCAGAGAAGCAAATGTAAAGAAGAAGTAATTGTCAGTACTAGATATAAAGAAGACAGTTGTTGAAATTATTGGTGTAGTAGGTGAATTGAGTAATGAGAAATATAGTAGAAAGATTTTTAAGTCATCCAAACTATTTAGAGTAAACACTCTTAAAGGAAGTATCAGAAGAGTTCAAAAAATGAAAAAAATGAAATACATAAGAACAGTTAAGAAATACAGATAATATTAAAAAATGTGATAGTATTTCAATCAAGAGTGCTTGAAGGAAAAACTCAAATACATGAAACAAAAAATATTTTTAAGAAAAGTAAAAGACTTCTCCATAATTAATGAAAGAGAGAATTGAGAAAATGCTTACAGATTACTCAATAGATAGGGGTAAAACCCTCAAAATGGCATATTGATGTGAAATTTAAGATATCAAAGAAAAAGAGAAAAATTTTAACTTTCAGGAGATAAAAAAATCATATTATCACTAAAGGAACTGAAATTTGATTGGCATTGAACTTTTTAATAGCAACACCAGAATGCTAGAATATGATGGAGTAATATTTTCATAGTGTTACAGGAAATTAGCAGTATGACTCAATAGTCAACTAAACTATTACTTAAATGTAAGTGCACAATAAACACATATGTTGGCATTTATAGCTTTAGAAAAAAATTGTTTAAAATATTCCCACATGAAACTGTACAAAGAAGAAATATAAATCCAGAATGGTTTTATGCTAATCATGGGAAATAGAAGTGAAGAAATAACTCAAAGTTTCCATTGTCCATATTAGCCTCCAGCCAGGACAAAACAATTTTATTTAACTCAGAATTTACTAAACTCAAAAAGTGATTAAAATATCCAAATATAAAGTAAGCATCAATAATAGATAATGTAAGCAGAATGACAGTGTAAGAAGTGCCAGACTATCCTTTCTTGCACAAACATACCAATTTAGCAACTATTCACAGACAAATTCCCATTTTGAGAAATCTGGATATTAGGTAAAAAGTTGCCTTATCCCAGAAACAATAAATCAACCTCACTAAAGCTAGAAGGAAGATTTGTGACATTCTCTCACCTGAATTCTTACACCCACTACTGCACCCACCATATGATCAGGAAAAGAACCCCTAGTTACTACCTTCTCTAAGAAGAAGGGAAGGGTTGGTATGCACATCAAACACTGCAACTTTCCCAGTGGAGTGCCAGAGGACTGGCTTTTAGTCTTGATGATCAGACATGGAAGTGTCAGCTGGTAAGCACCATAATCTTTCCTTGCTCAGCAAAGAACAAGGAGAAAAAATTCTAGCTCTTAGCTAAACCTAGGGATGGAAAGATTTGATCTATATGTGCAAGAGCTTCCCAACATCTCCATGACTGCCAAAAGAACTGGCATTCATTTAGCCAATCTTGGAATATCAATAGGTCTGATGCGTCCAGATCATAAAGAAGTTAAATTGTCCTTGTTTGCAGGCAACATGATCTTATATACAGATAACTTAGATGCCAAAACAACAAAGAATTGAATTCTGTCAAGTTGCAAGATAAAAAAAAATCAATATAAAAAAATTACCTATTATTCTATACACTAACACCAAGGTATCTGAGAAGGAAATTAGGAAAACAATATCATTTATAATAGCACTGAAAAGAATCAATTACTTAGCAAGAATTTACCTAAGGAAGTGAAAGATTTATACACCAAAAACTACAAAACATTGATGAAAGAAATTAAGAAGATACAAGCAATGGAAAGGTATCTTGGGTTCATGGATTGGAAAACTATTAAGAATAGATAATAAATATCCATACTACCCAAAGTAATCTATACATTCAGTGCAATGACTATCAAAAACCCAGCAGCAGTTTTTTTTACAGAAGTAGAAAAACCAATTATAGAATTCATATGGAAACACAAAAGACTACAGATATACAAATCAATCTTGATAAAAAGAATAAGGACAGAGACATCACATTTTTATTTCAAAATATATTTCAAAATGACAGTATAGTACTTGGGCTGGGGTTGTGGCTCAGTGGTAGAGTGCTTATCTCACATGTGTGAGGCACTGGGTTTGATCCTCAGCACCACATAAAAAAAATAAATAAAGGTACTTAAAAAAATATGGTACTGACATACAAATAGACAAATAGTTCAGAAGAATATAACAGACAGCCCAGAAATAAAGCCATGCATATATGGTCAATTGATCTTTGATGGCATATCAAGAATGCAAARTGGGGGGAAATGGTGTCTTCAATGTATGGTGTTGAAAAAACTGAATATCCACATGCAAATGAATGTAATTGGATCTTTATATTACACCATACACAAAAATCAATGCAAAATGAATTAAAAATTTAAGAACTAAAACTCCTAAAAGAAAACAAATTGAATTTTTTTTATGATATTGATTTTAGCAGTGATTTTTTTTATATAAAAACAAAAATACAGGGGCTGGGGATGTGGCTCAAGTGGTAGCACGCTCGTCTGGCATGCGTGCGGCCTGGGTTCAATGCTCAGCAACACATACAAACAAAAATGATGTGTCTGCCGAAAACTAAAAATAAATAAATAAATATTAAAAATCTCTCTCTCTCTCTCTCTCTCTCTCTCTCTCTGTCT